ATTCTTAACTGACTTTTATTTTTAAGAAGGAAGTTTGAATTATTGAGAATGATTTGTGTTACGATTCTGTATGAGTAATTGAATGCTTATCGTTAGTGAAGTTTTTATTTAATTTTTACTATCATACGATGAAATATTCGAAAATTATTAGTTTATATTTAATTTATAAAATTTATATTGTTATTAATTTCAGTATATTTTATCTTTTATATTAAATTTATTGTATAAAATATAAATGAAATATAAAATTTAATTTATAAAATTTATTATTAATTTATTTTAAAATTAAATATTATTATTAATTCAAGTATATTTTATCTCATTAACGAATTTTCATCTGTAATATTCCAAAGAGATGAAATTCCATATGATTTTATCTCATTAACGAATATGCAAGTAAATAAGATTGTTGTTGGGTTTGCAGGTGGTTGTGCATCCTTTAGTGCTTCTATCAGTAGTGGATCATTTCAATCGTGTCAGCAAAACACAGAATGTGAAACGTGTAGTTGGTGTGCTGTTGGGCAGTCTGAAACCGAATCGTACACTTGACATTGCGAACAGTTTCGCTGGTTTGTTATTATCGTTCAGTTTTTTTTAAATTTTGTTATTTTTTTATTCAGCTGGTTTGTTATTATCATTCGGTTTTATTGTTATTTTTATTTTTTATTCAGTTATTTTTATTTGTTATTATCATTCAGTTTCGCCGGAGTTTTATTTTGTGTCCGAGGCACTATCGGCTGAGAACGAGAGGAGAGAAATTTAAGCCTATAGAATGTTCTATTTTTTTCTTAATTTTATGAATTTCAGTTCCATTTGATGAAGATGATAAAGATAAGAAAACATGGTTCCTCGATATGGATTATCTGGAGAGTATGTATGGAATGTTCCACAAGGTATATATTCAGTTTTATTTTATTCATTTTAAGAAACAATCAAAATCAACTGAACTTTCGATTTTATTCTGTTTGAAAACGAAAACTTCCTGCGAAAGGCCGAGGAACTCTCGGGGGCGCATCTTGAAATAAGTTTTGAGATGGAGATTTGAATTGGATTTTTTAACGAAAATTTTATTTTCAAGGTTGCTGCACGTGAGCGAATCGTCGGATGGTACCACACTGGACCGAAACTTTGTCAGGTTTGCGTTTCAACTTGCTACTTCCGCTATCTGACACTTCTTTCGTATCATAGAAATGCTAGTTATTGCTTTAAATCAATTCTCCAGTGTCACTTATCTTAAGTTAGTTCCCATAGTGAGCGT